CCCTTTATCAATTTTGTATCTTGTAAGAACCTGTTATCTTCTTATCATACTTTTGTCTCACAGTTATCAAGTGTGGATATACCTAAATATATACAGGAAGCACTAAGGATTCCTGAATGGAAGAAGGTTGTTCTTGAAGAAATGGAGACTCTAGAGAAGAATGGTACGTGGGAGATGACTAGTTTGCCTAAAGGAAACTGATTGTTGGGTGTAAGTGGGTTTTCACCGTAAAGTCCTACTCAGATGGATCATTGGAACGTTATAAAGAAAGGTTAGTAGCAAAAGGATTTACGCAGACATATGGAGTTGACTATCAGGAGACTTTTGTCCCTGTGCCTAAGTTAAATACTATTAGAGTGTTATTCTCTGTAGCTGTGAATTTAGAGTGTTATTCTCTGTAGCTGTGAATTTAGAGTGGTCACTATTTCAATTGGATGTTAAAAATGCATTCCTCAATGGAGAGGTATAAGAGAAAGTCTATATGGATCCGCCTTTGGCTTTGAAGAGAAGTTTAAAGGAAAAATTTGTAAGCTGAAAAAATCATTATATGGACTAAAACAGTCTCCCCAAGATTGGTTTGAGACATTTACTAGATTTGTTAAAAAAGAAGGGTATCATCAAGGACAATTTAATCATACAATATTTGTGAAACACACTGGTGATGGAAGGATGACTATTTTGATTGTATACGTGGATGATATAATACTTATCGGGAATGATGATGATGAGATATGTACATTGAAGAAACATCTTGCCTCAGAATTTGAAATTAAGGATTTGAGGCCTTTACACTACTTCCTGAGTATGAAAATTGTAAGGTCAAAGATGAGAATTTATGTATTATAAATACAATATGTTCTTGATTTATTATAGGAGATGGGCATGAGTGGTTGCAAACCAACTGACACCTATGGATCCTAATCAGAAGTTGGGAGATGCTCTTAATGGAATCTCAGTTGATAAAGGTAGATATCAACGTCTTGTAGGAAAACTCATTTATTTGTCTCATACAAGATCTGATATCGCCTTTGCAGTTAGTGTCGCGAGTCAAAAGATGTACTCACCTTATGAGAAACATTTGGGAGCTGTATACAAGATTATCAAGTATTTAAAGAGTATACTTGGAAGAGAGTTGTTGTTCAAGAAAAATATTAATAGGAGTATAGAAGTCTTCACATATGCAGACTGGACAGGTTCAGTTTCAGATAGACGATCCACCTCTGGCTATTGTACGTTTGTGTGGGAAAATTTGGTTACTTGGCGAAATAAGAAGCAAAGTGTGGTTGCTAGAAGTAGTACAGAAGCTGAGTATAAAGCTCTGGCAAATGGAGTTTGTGAGGTGCTATAGATTAAAAGAATTCTTGAAGAACCGAGATTAGATGCAAAAGCACCTATGAAATTATTTTGTGATAACAAATCAGTTATAAGCATTGCACACAATTCAGTTCAACATGATCATACGAAACATATTGAGATTGATAGGCATTTCATTAAAGAGAAGTTGGAAAATGGAGTTATTTGTACGCTCTTTGTGACTTCTGAGCAACAAACAACTGATGTTTTCACCAAGGGGTATTTCACACTAAAGTTTGAATCATTCATTGATAAGTTGGACATGATCAATATCTACGCACCAATTTGAGGGGAGGTGTAGAAATATGGAAAAAATTGACCGCACATCTTTAAAATTATTACTGCATATTTTTAGAATTTATTGCAGATTTTTAGGAGTTATTATTGCATATTTTTATGATTTATTGCTGTAATTTTTAGGAGTTATTGTTATTGATTATATAGTTATTTAGTCCTAAAATTAAGAAGACTAAATATGGTTGTAAAACTTTATAAATTCAGCATTTTGTACCTACTGAAAATAATAGAAAATAAAGAAGAAAAAAAATTTCTTTTTCTTGTCTGCGTTCATACACTAATATAGGATTTTTAGTAGAATAAATCTATTGAAAAGCATCACAATCTAATGTGCTCACTTCAGAGTGCTAGTGGATTAACTACAGAGTTTCTTTATTGTGGAGAGAATGGAAATATGGAGGTATTCATGCAGTGAAAACTGAATTGGTGGGTAATATTCTGTTAGATTTAATATTTAATCCTGGAACCAAAGATTGGAAGTCTGTTCTGTTGCTGGGAATTGCTGCTTTGCAAGTCAGATAAAGATGCCTGTTGTTAGTGGATTATAAGTTGCAAATATCAATTCTGGAATGTGAAAGAGCTTTCGTATTATGCCAGTTGCTTAAATTGGACGAAATTCATTTATATGCTCAACATATCATAAGATCAGTTGAATTTTATTTTGGGAGGGGGGTGTTTGGGTTTGGCCACGTGAACAAAGATTCGTCAATGTCTGATATAGCTTTGAGACTGCCAACATTTGTTGAAGTTCATATGGTATAATAGATACACTAGTCTTGGGAATCTTCCGCTCATTCAAGGAATTGTAAGTAATAGCCACTAGTGGCATTAGCTGAGAAAGCATGCTTCACATGAATTGGTTTCAGTGTCCTTAATCTGCCAAATATATATACATGTATTTTTTCTATTTTTCAATTTCTTTTTCTGAAAATGTTTATCTACTTTGCTTGTTTTAGTTATTGAGGTACTCTTTCATCGGTTTTTTCTTCTAGCGACATCCAGCTAGTTTAATGCTTTCAGTGGATTTTAGTAATTAAGCTGGCCTAGAAGCTTGATCCTCCCTGGTTTTCAATGATTAATTTTCATTATCTGTACACTTGGGTTATGTGTTTGTTTTTGGGGACTTCAACTGCCTTAAGTGTATCTAGTAACATTTGTTTAAGTTCACGATTTTGTTCTGCAAATAAGTAAGAAAAGAAGAAATAGATTGTATTTTATTATTCTTATTATTTTCTATTTATGCGTGCTAGAAAATTTGACCAACATTTTGGAAGGGGAACGAGAATCCCAAGTAACATTTCAGGCACTACCATTTCATTATGTGGAGATATCGAGACTTCTTTTTGATCAGTAGGTGCTCCTACATTTTCTTATAGTCTTATTTTTTCCTTGTTTACTGGGTGTATTACCACTTGAATACAGTGACATAAACTGTAAACATATGGCAGTGCTCGTGATGACATTCCTGACATATATATGGTGAGTTTGGAGATTCTTGGAGACATGTTTGGTTAAGCCTTTTGCACGTTTGAGTTTGTAAAACTTGTGTATTTGTTTTATAGGTAAGGTCTCTTGTCGAAGATATCAGGGATGTACGGCTTCATAAAATCGAGACCAACTTAGAGACATTCAGTGGTACATCTGCAGTGAAGGTGAATCTTTTATTTGTGATGAATTTACGGGCATCTGTTGATGGTTCTTTAAAGGATGGGGCATCAATTTGAATTTAGAAATACCAACGGGAATATTTTTAGTGAAAACAAGAGGTGAAAAAAGAGATATGGTTTTTCTGGAAAGAAGGGTGTTCTCCATCTGTATTTGAATGTGTAGCACGTATAGGAGTTTGATGGACAGCTGTTCTTTCGTTCAGTCAATGCATGGGATATCCAAAAAACACTCCTTAATGGTTTTTGGAGGATGGGAGTATCATGTTCAATCTAGAAATATAAATGGGAATTTTTTTCCTCTGCATCATTCGAAGAACAACCTGTCTGCTGAGCAAAATCTAATTGAGATTTTACTACTAATTTTACTATTTGGCAGTTGATGAATTAGTGAATCATGAGGGATAATGTTGATCTTCTCGCAGAGGCTCCTTGCAGAACATGCATAGATGTGAAAAGGAAACATGAATAATTTGAGACTGTTGTCTTACTTCCATGCCTTTGATAAATGTGATAAACATGCCTTATATCTTATACCTTTGGCAAGGAATGGTCTCCTGTCTGCAGACAATGAAAAATTGTAAAGATGAATTAATAAACTTGTGGGATAATGTTGATCTTCTTGCAGAGGCTCCTTACAGAACATGCATAGATGTGAAAAATGAAATATGAATAATTTGAGACTGTTATCTTACTTCTATGCCTTTGATAAACATACCTTATATCTCATAAGGAATGGTCTCCTGTCAGCAGCCACTGGAACGTTGTCAAGATGAACTAATAAACTTGGGATCTGCTATTATTTGTTGTACCTTGAAGCAGAATTATAAGCTGAAAGATGAATAATCTCTCATGACATTGTGTGGATGATATAACTAAGGATTGTTGTCATGGACTCTCAGTTAGTGACTGAGGAAAGTAAGCCAAAATGATTCAATTAAGAGGCCAAGTTAATGGCTTTTAACACATGGCTGCAAGAAGGGAGAACTACTGGGAACCTGATGATTATTTCTTCTTTTCAGTATTCCTGTCAGTTTATTTCTAGTTGTTCAGAATGTTCTCTTTCTAGTCTGTGTCAGTTAGTGCTTGCACTTTATTGGTAGTTACTATTCTGTAATGGGACAGTTTTGCGGTGCTCTTGCAACCAGATGTGTGTTTTGTGCAGAAAAGGAGCATTTCTTTCTTAACTCTAGAGATTGCTAGTCTTAAGATAGGTCATAGGGGAAGAAGATTGTAGAAACTGGGCCCTGTAACAACTACAAGAGTATCTTCTTTAATTTGTTTTTTGTTGTTTCAGTAGATTATTTATTTGCTTCTGCACTTATCCATATTCTATAGCATGTCTTCTGTCATTGTATACTGTCATGCTGTTGTGTAGATTGCATATTATCTGGATCATGCTTATGATCTGAGAGAGAGAGACAGGTAGATGCAATGGTTGGTCTGGCATTCTAAGTTTTTCAATATACTAGTTATTTGATTAAGTGTCTATAATGGCAATTATATTGTCTACCTATTGAAACTTACTCTAATTTCACAAGTTTAAAAATTCAGGTTGCTAATCTATCTGCAATGGAAGTGAATATAGTTCGCCCATTTGTTAGAAGAGCTTTACAAGCATTTTATAAACATGATAAGCCGGAGCCAACTTTGGATAGAAATGAAAGGCCTCAAAGACGACAAGAAGCTAGTAACGAGCCTAGGGTATGGCCATTTATATTTTATCATTTTACTTCTTTTCTATTGTTTATTATTTTTTTTAAAGCCATTTCTTTAGTGGTTGTAGATTTTATTTTAAAGTTTTGGCTGTGAATGAGAATTGCAATTGGCATCAAGTGTTCTAAGCCATCACTCAGTTTTTACTACATTGGTTGTTTAATCTATTTTCTTTTTTCCAGCGGCATCTGAGGCAAAGGTAGTTGGTGCTCTCTTTCCAATTGTCATCTTAGTGACCTTCAGAAACAAACTTCAAGTACCTTATAGTGAAGGTATGTCAAATGAACTTGTTATCCTTGAAGAAGTGTAATTTTTTCTTTCGTTTTGTCCGTGTAGTTATGACATAGATATTCTTTATGGAGGACATCCATATTGAGCTATGTTACTGTATTTTCTATATTTCTTTTTCTTTGGCTGAGAAAAAGCATAATACTTAATATAAATCACATTATCCACAATATTTTTGTAGCAATCTCAAGCTCTGCAGTGTTAAGTTTTTGGTTGGATGATATTTATGGGTGCAAGCATTTGCATACATCTTGATGTGAGCAAAATGTTTTATATGTTAAGGAGTCGAGGATTTAAAATGAGGATATTGATGCGATCTACTAATCAAGCTAAGGTCAAGAGTGAAATAAGCGTCTTTAAGATGTTGTACATGTGGTAGATTAATCTGTCTCTATATTTAATTGAGTGACAGATGTCTACTGGTCCTAGGTCTCTTTCATTTTATGTCAGTTTTTTTTCCTTATTATTGATTTAATTAGTGGTGGGGGTGTGCTTAAAATAGAATCATAACCCTTGTTGAAGCTCACCAAAACTTAATCAAAACTAAGGTAATGCAGAACGATGATAGGTTAATATAGAAGATTTTTAGTGATAGAATATATCTTTGTAATGATTGTTTCTATTTAGTTTTTAATTTATTCAGGCTATTGAGGTAGTTAATGGATTTTGAGTTTGATTTAGATTTGAAAGTTTTGATATTATCACTGTGGATATAGTATCCAAATCTTATTAGTAGTATTTGGCTAACTTAAATGTTAGATTATGATGCTTATTTAAAAAAAGAAATGTTAGATTATAATGCATTGATAATTTTCTAATCTAGTATTATTCCCAAACTTTGTTCTGCTATTCCAGTGTCTTCTCTGTTTGGTTCACCTTCATCTCAGATTTCCTCCCCTTTATTCTCATACTAGATCTAAAATCTCTCCCTCATTCTCTGTTCTGTGCATGTATAAGCACAAAATACTTGACACAATACGTCCTCTATGGTAAGATAGATTACATAGATAAAAATTGTAAGTAAAAGTTGTTAGCATTCCACGTTAAATCTGTCATCTTTTTCCCCCTTATTTTAATTTCATCTCTTCCCCCTTATTTTAGTTCAGTACATTCTTTTATTTTTTTTTTAGAAAAAAAGTTAGATAGAACTTGTACTGCTGTATGGCTCGAGAACAGCTTAAACTCAGGCAAGATGATTTGCTCAAAAGTAGCTTGGAACTGGTCAGTACAGCTTGAAAATGCTTGGCTTAACTCTTAGGCTTGGATTGGAAGGCTTGGCTCCTTGTCTTGACAACTTTCATTTACCTCGAATGATACAACAGATCTACATCCTAATCCAATTAAAGATCTACCAATCTACTAAAATGGCAGAACAAATTAAGGTAAATATTACATAAACTTTTTTAGAAACAAATAAATTTAAAAATAATAAAATTTCTATCCCTAAAGATACCCCATTTCAACTTTTCATTATTGTTATGTCTGCATCATATAGTCCACTGGTTTCTATCATAAGGGTTCTATTGAAGTTATATTGAATGTTTTCTGATCATGTGATTTTTCGCTCGATTGTGTTGGAAGCTGTGGTTATTAAATGTTGAGTATATATATTTCTTTTATGCATTTAGTTGGGAGTTATAGGCCAACTGTGTTTCCCATTCGCCTTGCAAGAACAAATATGAAGTCCTGCTGAGAATGACATTTTCCATCATATCATTAACGCAGGTTTTCCATGGATCAGAATAAGCTTTCTTGATATTTAGGCTACCATGGCCTGTAATTATAATTCCTTGGGGACTGCTTTTAAATTTTGGTTTTAGGCTTTGGGATTATTGAGCTTGGTGAAGTGCATCTTCATTTTTTTTTGTCTACAACAAGTCCATGTTTGTGTGTGTCTTTTTTCTAGGATAAATTTATGCAAGATGAAATTGGAGACTTCTGTGGACCAGAAAAGGCGAAAAAAGAAAGTAAAAATGTGATTGAACCTTTTGATTTTGCGACTAGATTTACTTTTCATCATTTTGAAAGTTACATTTTATTTTAATAAAGTGTCTTTTCTATCTATTTCTTGTTACTTCTTTTAGGTTCTAGGTTTGCTTTGGAAAACTTGCCTGTTTTTTGAATTTTTTTACTTTTTAGTGCCATTCAGTGATTCTCATAAGGGATTCGGCTTTGCCTTGTGGATTTTCTTTCAATACGTTTTGATAAACTTTTGATTTATGGAAATTTTGATTGAATGGCTGAATGTTCTTTCTTTCTGATTCTCATTCAACATGTAGAAGAATACACAATAGTCAAAGGCTAATTTCTCTAAATACAGATGGACTGATTTCTCACTAATTATGATAAGCTGATTTTAGACTGATTTCTCAGTAATTACGATAAGCTGATTCGAGCTGATTTCTTTCTGATTATGATAGAGTAATTTCTCTCAAAATAAAGCTATGCAGTCACATTAGGGAAAGGTAATACATATGCAAAATAAATAGGCTGTACAAATAAGTGATTGACATATATGTCAATATCTGCCCTCAAATTGATTATGGTTGATTGAGAAGTATCAACTTATCAACAACTCAAATTGATTATGGTTGATTGAGAAGTATCAACTTATCAACAAGAAATTGATGATGTTGTTGAATAAGAGATTTGGTAAGCACATAAGCAATTTGTAAAGTTGTAGAAATATGCGGAAGAGAAACGATAAGAGTATATATAGTTTTGTGAATGTAATAACAATACACTTCAATATGTTTGGTTTGCTCATAATAGACTGTATTAGTAACACTTTAAACAACACTTGTGTTATTTGCATGGAGAGAAGTGTGATCAAATCGAGGAAAACTAAATTCAGTCAACAACCCTCGAAGTTAAGTGATCTTAGAGCATAAAACAGACATTGCATGATATTCAGATTCAATGGAGGATTTAAAACTCTAGTCTTGCTTCTTACTCTTTCTTGATATTAAAAAATTCCTGAGAAACATGCATCAACCAATGATAGAGTGACGAGTATTGAGACAACAACCCAAATCTGTATTGCTAAAAGTTCTAAGTTGTATAGAAGACTCTTATGGATGCAAATATAGGATAGTAAGTAGAAAATTGACATTCAACTAAATATGGAATCCTAATTAGTATTAAATTTTTAAATAATATATATATTTTTCATTAGTACTTCATTTTTAAATCGTGTAGGATTTCCAATATTTTAATAGAGTACTTCTAATTAGATTTTAGATTTCAAATTAGATTAACATTTCTAAATAAGAATTATAACCTCTATATAAAAGGATATGTTTGATATTAATAAAGATAAGTCAGAATATTATTTTTAATTATAAGATTGGAGCTCTCTTTAACGAGATCTAAGGTAGCAGTTTCCTTTAATGACTTGTAATTTATTTTCACAAAATAGGTCGGTCTCGCAATAAGAACAAATGTATTAACCCTTTACTAGAAAACAACTTTGTTGTTAACCGCCTGGTGACTTGATCCTTAATTAGGGAACATAATAATTTGATATCAGAGTAAGGTACCATGGGCAACCAAAGTTTATGCGAAGAGTTGCGGAATCTATAATCTCGGATGACAGCTTCTGAAACTACAACAAAAGAGAGTTTGCACCAAATCACACAACAATTAGAACTTTTTCTCAGCCAAACCGCCCAAGTTCAAGAAAAAGAGGAAGTTGATGACGTAGAAACTAACAACAGTGGTTCAAATCAGAATCAGAAAGGGGAAAGTGGCACACTAAACCAGGTCATGAAAAATCCAACATAGGTTCTCATAACAACGGATGAATTTATCGTTATACAAAACTTGATTTTTCCACCTACGATGGATCGAACGACCCGTTGGCTTGCCTCCATCGTTGCGAACAATTTTTTATTAATCAAATGACAACTAACAACGACAAGATTAGATTGATAGTCTTCCACTTATTAGGTGATGCTCAACTTTGGTATTACAAATTGCAACAAGAGCAGACAGGGATGTCACGGGGCCAATTTGTTGAACTCTGCACATTGCGGTTTGGTTCGTCCCTGCATAACAATTCATTAGGAGAGCTAATCAACCTAAAACAAACAAGTACAGTGGAGGACTATATATGGCAGTTTCAGAGACTTTTGGCCCGTGCTCATAAAGTACGGCAAGACTAACAAGTTGACATATTTACTGCGGGTCTAATAGATTCAATCAGGCTGGAAATCGAGATGCAATCACCTACCATTCTTATACAAGCAATGAGCGTAACCAAAGTTTTTAAAAGAAACAACAGTTGTAGGATATGACCGAGTACAATTATAATGATCATTTTCAATCCATTACCAAGCTCAACAATTCAGTTCAGAAAACATTATAGGGCAGCAACTTCACGACACAATCTTGTAACTCTTATTCTCCATTTATAAAAAAACTAACAATAGCAGAGATGAACGAAAGGAGATTGAATGGATTGTTTTGTAACTGCGATGAGCCGTTTGTCAAGGGTCATCAATGCATACAACTGTTTTGGCTCGAGATTGAGTGCGACCCTGGTCCTGAGCAATAAGAAAAGACCAACAAGTCAGCTATATTCACAATTCAAGCTTGAGGACAAGCTTGAAAACTAAGGGGAAGAAATGTTATGGATGCAAATATAAAAGGTGCAGTAAGTACAAAATTGACGTTCAATTAAATATAAAATTCTAATTTGTATTAGATTCATAAATAGTTGGAATGTTAATCAGTACTAAATTCTTAAATAATATATATATTTTTCATTAGTACTTGATTTATAAATAGTGTAGAATTTTTAATATTTTAGTAGAGTATTTCTAATTAGATTTTAGATTTCAAATTAAATTAACATTTCTAAATAAAAATTGTAATTTTTATATAAAAGAGTATGTTTGATATTAATAAAAATAAGTTATAATATTATTTTAAAGTATAAGATTGGAATTCTCTTTAACGAGATCAAAGGTAGCAGTTTTCTTTGATGAACTGTAATTTATTTTCACAAAATAGGTCGATCTCGCAACAAGAATAAGGGTATTAATCTTTTTCTAGAAGATAACTTTGTTGTTAACTGTTCGGTGACTTGATCCTTAATCAGGAAACATAACAAAGATCGACTAAGAAAGAATAAACCCCAATAAGGAATACTCAAGAG